TAACACCCTTGGGTATAGACACTGAATCAAGAGAAGAGAGAAAAGCACGATAGGAAGGAGAAAGTCCATTGTAGGATAAGTACTGTGAGATACAATGGGCAGTGCACTTTCTCTTCCCTTTTCTAAGAGCAATAGGGAGATCAAGGTTATCTGTAACAGTGTCAGTAGGATCWATGGGAACTGAAATAGTGGGATCAAGAGGAATACCTGAATCCGTATTAACCGAATCTGGAGTCTCCAAGGGATTGACAAGAAGTGGTGTGAGTTCTGCTGTAGTGGAATCAACCGCCTTATGAAGTCTTTGCCGTGAGTAATGTTGTGAGATGGAACGCAAAGGAGGTGGCAAGGTGGGTGACATCGGGTGGTGGTCAAGCATAGGAGTAGACATAGGAACTAGAACTGGGAGAGGGATAGACTGCTGACTTACTTCCCTAAAACACTCCCCCCTGAGAATGATCCTTTGAGAAGAAGTACGTGGATTCAAAAAAGGTAACATCCATAGTAACATACCAGTTCCCAGAGACTGGATCATAGCAGCAATACCCTTTCTGATTCTCTACATATCCAAGGAAAACACAATTCTTTGCCTTGGGATCAAGCTTCGAACGGTGAGGACCAAGAATATGTGCAAAGCAGACACATCCAAATACCCTTAGAGGAATATGAAACATCTCCCCCTGAGGAAAAAGAAGGCTGAATGGGGTCCTGAATTCGAGTACACGAGAGGGCACTCTGTTAATTAGATATACTGCCGTGAGAACTTCATCACCCCAAAAACGAATTGGAACTGTGGCTGTGATCATGCTTCTTGCCGTCTCAACGATGTGTCTGTTCTTCCTCTCTGCAACACCATTCTGCTGTGGACTATAGGAGCAACTGCTCTGATGGATAACACCATACTCCAACAGATATGAGGSAAGATGTCTCTCAAAATATTCCCTAGCATTRTCAGATYTGAACATCTTTATTCTTGTCCCAAACTGTGTTAGTATCATCTGGTGGAATTGCCTCACCAAGGATGGTACTTCATCGCGTGATTTCATCAGGTAAATCCAGGAATATCGAGAGAAATCATCCACAAACAGGAGAAAATAGCGATAGCCACCCATAGAGGGAACATGATAAGGGCCCCACACATCTGAATAAATAACATCAAAGGAAGAAGAACATCTTTTATTATTAGGTTTAAAAGAATGTCTACAATGCTTTCCAATTTCACAACCCTTACACTTCAAACTTGACAGACTCACAGACTCAAACAATTTTGGAAACAAACAATTCAAAGAAGAAAAGGATAAATGATCCAGACGGTTGTGCCAAACCATAATCTGACCCACAGATTTTGACTCACTATCTCTGCAAACATGATGTCTACAATGCTTTCCAAGTTCACAACCCTCACACTTCAAACTTGACAGACTCACAGACTCAAACAATTTTGGAAACAAACAACTCAAAGAAGAAAAGGATAAATGACCCAGACGGTTGTGCCAAAACATAATCCGA